CATTTATTGTGGGGTTTTTTTTTTCAGGATTAACATTTTTGGCGGGCTCACCATTAAAATAGAGAGAGAAAAAGCTTGGAGTGGGCATACCGATGAATTTTTAGATTCCAAGCTCTCCCAAACGGTCATTATCTTGCCTTCTATTTAAAGAGGAGTAAATTAAATTGCAAGAGATGGTGTGACTGGCTTTCCAGATCTTATTTAATTTGGCTTAGCAGTTAGCATTTTCCATCTGCACAACATAATCATTAATTTTTCTTGTTTCTTCATTGTCACTGTACAGACTGCTTTTTAAGGGTGATCTCTGCCCTTTCTTACTGTTAGATTTTTATATCTTTAAAGGAGCGTGTCTATTGATTTTTCTTTTAGGATGAAGTATGTATAAAATTACTCATCCTGCTAAATGTGCTTGCAAGGAATCCTGTCTAACTCATGGTCTTTGATCCTGCTATCACTTATGTGGGTGTTTAACTTTACTACTGTGCATAGTCCCACTGGGGAGAATCTTAATTTAAAAAATATTATGGTAAAAATAACGTCAGGTTTTTAGCACACGTCCATGCTGGATTATGAGGAACACCTCCCTGTAAAACCGAGCATGTAAATTAAATAGGCTGTAGAGAAGATGAGAAGACAGATAAATTATCCCCCCCCCCCAAGTCTGGAAAGGTTCATTGTTGCGTTATTGTCTTCATCCACGGTCAGTTTGCACGGTACCCATCCTTTCATTTTGTGAACGTGTCAGGGTTTTGTGTCTTAAAACTTGGGTTTTTAGAGAGATCTAGCTTTCTGGTCAGCATCGCCAAGCCAAACCGAGCCCGAAGGTTATTGCCTTCAGACAGGCAGCCCCAGAGCCTCATCAGCTCCCCGGTGCGATCGAAGGGGCTGCGAGCAGCGTGCTCGGTGCCGGGCGGTGGCACCGGGTACCGTGCCTGCCCAAACGCCCGACTGACGGCCGTGGGACCCTGCAAGGGTCTGGCGAAGCGGATCAGCGCTTCCCCTCCGCTGTGCCCCGCAGGAGGGGCAGAGGCGTGGGTAGGGGTGAGCACAAGTGACGGGCCAGGGTCAGGGCCCCTTTCTGGAGCCACCAGTGCCCTCAGGCGGGCCCTGGCCACGTCCATTGCTGTCGCCATCGGTGCGGCTCCCTCCTC